ACTTCAAGGTTCGCAAAGTGCTGTACCTGTCACGAAATCTGCACTTCGAGGTTCTCTAAGTGCTGCCCCTGCCACGAAATCTGCGCATCGAGCTTCAAAGGGCGAATTAGCCGTCCATGGCCCCCCCGCCCCAGCAATCTAAGCACAGCTGCTTAACTATTACCGCAAGAACCCCTAAGTGTGTCCACACTGTTTGGGGAAAAACACACACATGACATGAGGGCAAGGAGCCTCCTGAGTGTTTAATGGCGCCTGGCGACTCTTCTTTGCACCCCGATTAGAGCAACCCACATCCGCCCCTCTGGTGTCAAGGCTTCTCCTTCCCCTTCTCACCCTTCTCCAATGTCTTGTGGTGCCGGTGCCTCCGGTGTCCACCCGGAAGTGGGCATCAAATGGAGAGGCCTCAGTAGCAACACTTTCCCCTCGGCCAGCCTGGAAGACTGAAAATGGGTGCCAGCCTGGGGTAGCCAAATGGACATCGCTTCTGTCTGGATCCAACTTGTTTGAACGGAGAGCACCTGAGAACCACCCAACCACCTGTTTGTGGAAACAAGTCTTACCACAGAGTCAATTTGCCACTTCCATCCCTAGTGAGCCAATGAGAAGACCGAAAAGTCCTTCAGAACCTGCTAGAGCTAAAGGAGCTGAAGTTTCTCGAGCTGATTGAAGGTGCTTTGCTTGGCAGCATAGCAAACACAAAAGAAGTCGCTAGGTGAACCAAATCCCGCTCTCATCTTGACGGCTATACGGACCGTACAGAGTCTAAGACAGTCGCACAAGTCTATTCCTCTTGCACTTATGACTCCAACAACCCATCTTAAATGGCAGAAACTCAAACGCAGTCAACCACCTAGCTGGGACAATTCCAAACCGCCCTGCATCCCCCAGCATCTTCTGTACCAAACGGCTTTCGTCTCAAGTCGAAGTCGACCTCCGGATCCTGTGCTCCGGGTGAATGTCACGGCCGGCAAGTCAACCAGGCGATGTTTTCTTATTCAAACTCTCTTAGGAGTCCAAGGGTGTAAAAAAAAATAATGCAGGGTGCATTCCGTGCATTCCACAGCTTATACTTTGAGGATGTTCATGGACCATGGACAACAAAAACAAAACGATTCAATGGTTCCTCCGCAGCTTTCAAACCTACCAAGCGGTTTGAGCTGTGCAGTGTAGAGGTTTTCACAGTCCAAATGGGATGGCTTATTGATCACGAGTCTCTCACAATGTATCACCTGCCCAAATCAATCCGAATTACCTCACATGACAGGTGAGAAACAAATCGACAAGGCAAATGCCGGCGAATGCAAAGCTCGAGCGCTTGAAGCTTTTGCAAATGATTCGATGCAATGGGAGCGTCAAACATTGCAGTCTCGGCTTGAAACATATAAGCCGTCTTTAGAACAGGCGGCACATCATGAACAGGCTGCGCCTTCATCGCCTTTCACCCCTCCAAAGAACTCTCAGATTTCCAACGCAACTTCCGGGAGGGAGCCGAGCAATGTAATCTCCCAAAGCAAAGCACCTATTGCACACGACGGGGGAACACCCCACACCGTGGCCCTCGCCCGCCGAGGGCGCTGACATAGTTAACAGTTGTCTTTTTAAAAATCATTTTACATCTACGACCCAAGAAGTACGTATAGATGCCACCAATCCAGATCGATGACTCAAAAAAAGGGATTGCATTACAACACTTTCTGTAGCTGTACATTGGACCATCTCATCTCATGCTGTGGGACTTTCCTGTCTCGGATCCTCCTATATGCCACCTTCGTGACAGTGAGCGTTCGGTTTCTTCAAAGTCATGTTTGAGACATATGGTCTACTGGCCAGCCTTTACCTGAATTGGGGTGCGCAAATGACTCAGTGACATGATTAAGGTCAGTCTGACCCAGTAAAACCTGGTCCTTTAGCTCACTGAGCTCCAGTACAACGAGGTCAAACAGACTTGTAGAGAGCATCAAAACAACCTTTATCTGCAACAGAACCCCCCCTCGAGCTTACGCGCGCGCGCGCCAAAAAGCACACCTGTGTCCGCCAGCCATAGAAAGGATCCACCACCCACATCCTGGAGAAAACGAGGCTTTGGGCCTAAACAGGACCAGGAAACCCAAAGGTATGGTTCTCAAGATGTTCTCAGACCCTAAAGAGAACACGAAGCATGCATGCCGGAAATCGCCCATGCTAAGAACCCCATGTCAAAATAATTATTCAGAGGGCTTCAGTGGGTATGGTTGTTCTTTGTGGTCGATGTTTGAATGTAAAGGATGTGAATGAACATATGATATCATATGATTAGTTATGATTAGTTACTAGTAGCTTCTTGTTAACAGTAATGCCAGGAGCGCCCCGTTCGGTTCGCGTCCGAACGCTCCGTTCGTCGCGATGCCCTTGCGTATACGTTCGTAGCTTCAAAAGGACCCCGCTGATGTTCGTGGCCTTTCAGAGTCGAGCCTTATAAGGCATCAGGGACACCTCAGGGTGGGGCGATGCTGCCCATCTTTGAAGCCTTAGGCAGTTGAGTGTCCAATGGTTGACCAACCCTCAAAGCCTCAAAACGCGGTGTCACGTCCAGATCCTTGTGCTAACGCGGTGTCACGGAGGTTGCCAGGAAGCAACATAGATCACTAACCCCTCAGAAGAGCAGTGTTTTTGGACATTGACCAACCCAACAGTCTAAGGGCCGGTATGGTCTAGTGAGTCTAGTGGCTATGGCAGGCAGGCCACTTGACTAACCCCTGCAACTTTTGGGGAGGATGAGCTCTCAGGAGCTTTAACACAGGTTAAAACACAAAGAGTCATCAAACAACACCAACCAAAGAGTCATCAAACACCAAAACACCGGCGAATGCGCGGTTGGCCGTGCTATCACCGGCGAAGCACGGCCTCGCGTCCCGTGCTATCACGGGGACTGGGTGATGAGTTTGGAAGCAGGGCAAGGGAAACGAAGAGAGCAAATGGCTAGGCCCTGCAAGCGTCCTCATGGCCAGAAAGCCGTGGAAGGACAATGGTGCATGGATCAAAAGAGGGATACAACAAAGCCCAAGGACCACAGGGCCTCTTTTTTCGCTCCATGTACCACTTGAAGTGGTGCATTGACAAGTCCGTTTGTTTCGCACCTGGGAGAGAAGTTCACATGTCTCGTCTTGGGAGTCCCGTCTACGGCCTAACTCCGCTTTTCTCTTCGTCCAACGACCCCGTGGCTCACGTCACCCGCCATGACCTCTCCTTCGGTCGAAGTCGGGAAGCTCCGAGGGGTGCTCGTTGATCACCTGCGGCGTCACGTCTGGCTCCGCATCGAGTGCCGAGCCAGTGCCGAGAGCCGAGCTAGGACCTGAATGGACATGGAAATGGCGACAAACGAAGAACATGGAAAGGGTTTGGTATACCCCACACCCCGTTGAAGGGCTTTGATTTGGGCTCTGTTTGGTCCGGAAAGAGGCAACATCTTGGCGAAAAGGAGTCACCAATAGGTAACAGTGGTTGATGATGGTTCAGTTGCAGGCCCTCAAAAAATAGTGATGTTCGTGTGGATCCTGAGGTCTCTACAGGTGTTCTAGGACAGACCCAAGGTATAGTACATGTCGACGTATGGTGTGAATCATGGCAGCTGTACACCCCGGTTTTTCCCCCACTCCGTCAGTTTAGAAAACCAGAGCTTCAAGGTGTTTCTTTTCCGCGGTTTCTGGTAACCTGTCGAGTCTTCGATGAGGGTAACATCTTTTTACATCTTTTACCCAGACACTCCATGTGTGCCATATATGCCTACATTGACCCCTCAAACCACCCCAATGTAGGCATATATGGCATACATGGAGTGTCTGGGTCGCTACAGATTGAAATAGATTGAACCTGTCCAGACTTTAAACGATCTTGTACCGTGCAGGACGGACTGTCTGAACCTTGCTGTAGTCTGGTACTCAATCAAATTAGATCGATCGGACTGTTTGCTCCGGAGAAAGTCAAGCACCCCAATGTCCTTCAATGTCTCCCCGCATATCACCGCACGCTTGCTCAGCTTGCTCCCCCCCCCCCCGACCCCCTACAACAAAGCACGCTCTTCCACGGAGAAACGGCCTCCGAGTGCACATAGCCCCGGGATTCCACACCATCGCACTCCGCCTGCGGCCATAGCCCCGCGTTTGTCGGTCCGGCGGAGGAGGGCCCGAAGCCCAAAACACACCAATAGGTACAAGTGTTAAAAGACAAGTACTATATATACTGATTATATACCTCTAGCTTAGTTACCCTGTGAACGAAAAGAAACACGCAGGCTGCAGGTCGGTCAACCTATGGTCAATCAGGTTGACCTTCTGGTCAACCGTAGCCCATGTGAGACCGATGTTGCAACGAACGAACCTGAAGGGTCAGAGACAGGTGGCAAATACCTTGTCCGACCAAATTAAACGCCGATCTTGTACCAGACATTTTTAGCACCAAAGACTCCTCCTGTTGCATGATTTGGCTCACTGTCGGCATAGTGATGTGATGTGCGTTATAGTGATATGCGTCATTAGCAGGTTGCTTAGTCATGCATATGCGTCATACGCATATGTGCTATCGTAGGAGCCACAATGAAGGTCTCAAACGGTCTCAGACTATCTGGGCTATACTGTGCTTTTCGTCTCTGAACAAATGTTCCTCTTAGTGCCTACACCCTAAGAGGTTTTGGCTTGTTTGGCTCTCTTTTTCTTGCACTCTCTGACTCCTGCATACCTCGCATTATTCCCTGGATTGTGATATCTGTCAGGTCTGTAGATGGAAACGCCGCCCTTTTTGGTTCCAATCTTGGTCGATCTCTCTTCCTCAACCCACCCTTGCACAGGATCCCTGAAGCAACTTCCTTTCCACCTTGGTCCTTTGAGCACATGAACCTCAAGTTCTTGAATGGATGCGTGTACTCGTTGTTGATCGGATATGTCTGGGCAACCAGTGAAAGTCTTCCAAGATGTAATTAGCAAACAGCTGGATGACTCCAATTTGTCCACATGTGACAAACAATCAGCTACCGCATCTGGTGCCCAGACTGGGTTGATGTACAGGAAGGTGCTCTTCTGATCTGGAAAGCATTTCTTGCTCTCGGGACACGAGGCAATGTAATGCAAACCCCATGATGAACAAAGCTGCTTGATGCGCTGGTCTAACTCGGGAAAAGATCCCCTAAGGCCACGGTAGTACTTTGTGTTGCAGCACTGCTGGCACATGCTCTTCGATCTGTTGTTCTGCATCAAGTCCATCACATGAGCATTCACAACAGCTCGTACTAGCTGGTCTTGGTGCTCGTACAGAAGGCTCTTCAGCAATTGTGTTCCTTCTGAGATGCGAACATGCCTTGCAGCCCAATTCATGGAATTCACTGCATCCATCACACTCTCAGATGAGCTTCCTCGCCATGCTAGTATATATATCAGTATATCGTTCAAGCAACGTTTCCATAGTGCTCTTGATGCACACAATCTTACCAGCAGCATCTCAAAATCCTGGTCTGACAAGCCATAGAACTGAGCTCCTTCGAGTGCGCCGACTGCATATTGTAGCACCTTGTGTGTTTCTGGTTGGGTTCTCACTCCGACCTCGGTGATATCAGAACCTGCAATGCTTCGGTCGGTCGGAGTGATTCCTTGCAGCTTCCTCTGCATCCGATTCTCCCTCGATCATCGGTCCGCTGCTTCCCAATCCAGCGCTCAGTTCAGTCCTGCTGAGCAGTTCAGTTCAGTCCTGCTGAGCCTGCTTTGTGGGAGTCATAGCTGACAATAATGGAAGTGGAGCAAGCGTCCACCACTTCCCTTTTCGGCACGACGCTCACTGTAACGTTGAAGAGAGAGAGAGAGAGAGGTGAGAACTCAAAGTACCGACAGAATCTACCATAATTATAAGGGCCAACTTCTTGTTTCTAATAGCGATGCACCTGTTACTACTAGTAAGGCACTTGTTACTAGTAGCGATGCACTTGTTTCTAGCAATAAGGAAAAATCTACAGGAAACCCCATGAATTCCGTGATTTCGGGGATGAAAACCATGGTTTCCGGTAGATTTTCCTGTCAACCAAGTCTGGGAAGCTTCTTGTACCATGTAGTCAATGTATGTCAATGTACCTGTTGGTTGTTCCTTTGGGTGTGTTCCCTCGATTGTTATCAACTAACCAAGGCCATAGGTCAGGCCCATCTATGCAATGGACAACATCTGTCCCAAGCCATCCATGGGACTGGACCATTTTCAAGAAGCCTCAACAAAAACATCCCGCCGGGCTCGTTTCCGCGCGTGCGGTTGAAGACATTTGTCAAATCTTCACGTGGTCAATGATGACGAATGTCCGTTGTGTGACTGTGCTTTGCATTGATGTGAAAGGCTTGTTGCAGCATGTAGTACATGAAAACAACTCAAAAATCGTTGCGATTTTGACATCGAAGTGCTACGAAACTGTGGTTTCGTGCCAAAAAGAGGCGCGCTTCTTCATCCTCCAGCATCATCATCACAGTCTGTGGGACAACTTCTGACCCAGCTTCGTCAGAAGATCGTCTTTATTCTGGTGGTGGGGACCGGCTCCTTACACAAACGCCACATACCATCAATGGCACCGGTGTGGATGAGCAGCTCTCCTGACGTCAAGCATCTGACAATCCCCCGAACGGAAAAACTTCGGAATAAACAAGCAGTCGGTAACCACCAAGCCAAGTTTCCACGCGTCGACGTCTTAAAAAAAGAACTGACACACCCCAACCACCTGCGCGTACCGACCTGTCTGTGTGTGTGTCTGGCTTTATCTTCGTACGCGCTATGATGCACTGAACATGCAACGTCTTTAAACTTTGGCCCCCTGTGTTTTGTAGGGTCCTAGGTTCCCCTAGGATCCCCTAGGCGTGTCTACGCTATACGTGTGTAGCACCTTTTGTCCGCAGTTACTTGTGCATACATTCTCTTCAGTCAGCTGCCGCTTAATTCATTTGGCTCAAGCCCAATACCTGCACTCCGTGCCATAGAAAGTGTGCTCGTCGTCGCTCGCACACTTGAACGTGAGAGAGGGACTTGGTGTTTTTGATCAGGTCCAGTGTACTTCACTGCCACATACTGCCCTCACTCCCACCCTCTTCCACAGCGTGTGCGTGTGTGGCTTCCTAATAAACATTCACACAACATGAACATCACTAGCCCCCACCCAACCCCCCCTCCCCCCTAACCCCACCCCCCGTGT